GGTTGGGCTGGGTGAGGTAGCCAGTGATGGCTTGTTCTGACCAATCTGTGGAGATGTGGATGGGTTTATGTGGGTCAAACATGGCCAGATTTTCCAGTTTGGCCAAGGCAGATTTCATTGCAGTGAAGATTTTCCTGGTGTCGTTGTTCCAGTGTTGGTCAAAGGGATGGTCTTGTGATCTCAGAGGAGATCCAAAAGAGGGGCCACGAGGGTGGCATGCCAATGGATAAAGTGGTGGATGGTGTTTGTGAGGCCCAGGAAGGAGTGGAGTTCAGAGTAGCTTGTTGGCTCTTCAAACTTGTGAATGGAGGTGGTTTGGGATGGCAGGATTGAGATGGCTCCTTGGGAGACATGGATTCAACAGAGGTTTGGAGGAAGGCACATTTGTTCAGGCAAACTTGTAGTTTATTCATGCTCATATGGTGGAGCATCTTATCAATGTGTAAGAGATTTTCTTGGAGGTTCTCTGAGAAACAGAGGAGGTCATCAATGTAGGTGGCGAGGAAATTGTCAATGAATTCCCAGAATATTCCAATGATCATGGTTTGGAATGCAGCAGGGGCATTGGCAAGGCTGAAATGCATGATGACCCATTCAAAATGTCCATACTTGGTGCAGAAAACAGTCTTGTGGACATCGTCAGGACAGATGTGAAGCTGGTGGTAACCATTGGCAAGATTGAACTTGGAGTAGATGCGTGCATGGCACAGGCAGTCAAGGGACTCCAGGATGTTAGAAAGGGGTGCGCAATTCTTGACAGTAAGCTGTTGAGTGCATGGTGGTCAAAGACGAGACATAGCTTGTTCTTCTGCTTGACGAAGGAGCTCTGTAGGGGGAAATGGAGTCATGGATGCGGGAGTGCTTGAGGAGGTAAGTCACTTCCCCCCTTCAGTACCTTGAGCTCATCCTGATTTTGTCAGGTAGATGGGTCAGAAGGGCAGGCTCTGAGTTGCTTTGGAAACAGTATCATGCACATGTCTGTGATGCACTCTGGAGGTACAATTTTGAAGGGTTGGAAGATGTTGGGGTACTTGTCTACAATGGCACAAATGTTGGCTGGCAGCTTGGATCATGCAATTGCATTGGTGTGATTGCTGGAAGCAGTGGTGGGCTGGAAGGTAAGTGAGGCTTTGTTGGCAATGTTGAGGATAAGGGCACCAACAATCATGTCAGGTGTGGGCTTTTGGCAGAGCAGGTTGCCAACTGGGTTGCTGAAAGGACTTCAGGGACAGGACTGGGCAGCGCACATGTCCAGCAGTGAGTCCCAATCCTCACGGTGTTGGAGGGCCAGTCAATCACTGGATTCTGGTCATTGAGCCAGTCCTTCCCGAGGATGAGGTCATAGGTGAGACCTGGGATGGCTGTGAAGGCTCTGGTGTCGTGGAAGGAGGTTCTGGTGATTTGGAAGGTGAGGGGCTTGGTACGCTTCCCTTGGTTGATTCAAAAATCAAATATAAATCAAACATAAATCCAATTTTGGTATTCTTTCCGAGGGACTTGTCTGCTGGGCGTATCTTGCAGTTGTGGGTCCTGAAGGAGGTGGCCTTGAGGAATGGGAGCTCAGTGCAAATGAAGCTGGGAGTTGCACCGGAGTCATCAGGATTGTGACTAGATGGTCGTGGATGGATCCTTGGCAGATGAGGAGGCCTGGGGCATTGGTAAAAGGTGATAAGTGATGCATGTTAAGGCAAACAAGTGGGGGTTGGTCAATAAAAGGTGGTTCCATGTGGTCAGAGGGTAAATCTGGTCTAGGCAAGGTCAGAGTGGCAGGCAGGTTGTTTGGTTTGAGGGCAGTAGGCTGGTTACTGCTCGGAACTGGCAGAACTGGAGTCAAGAAAAGACTCCTCCTCAGAATCGACTTGAGTGGTGGCGTTGAGGCGTGGCTTGGACTGCGCGTGAGACAAGGCACTGGGGTGCTGTTCAGACTTGCGAAATGGACGTGGTTCGCGGTCTTGGATGGCGTTCGAAGCCTGGAGCTGGGCGCGGCATTCTTGGAGCTTCTGGCAGTGGTCTGTGTTGTGGCTGAGTGATTGACAATAAACACACCAACCTTTGGAGCAAAAATGCTCCTTCTGTTCTGAGGAGAGGTGCTGGAAGTTGCTGGAAGTGCGTTGGTGTTGCTGGGCATTGGACAGGTCCATTGGGTCCTCGATGTCTGGAAAGGAGTTGCGAAAGGAAGGCATGCTGGAGCGTTGGGGGCGTTTGGAGTCGTGGGTAGCCTTGGTGCTGCGCTGGTTGGCGCTGTGTCCTTGGCTGCATCTGCTGTGGTGAAAGGTCATGTTGTCGAGTTTCTCTGCCTCTTGTTGGAGCTTCTCGAGGTTGTTGTCGATGCGGAAGAGCTCGGGCATGACATGTAGATGGAGCTTGAGTCCCTGCAGGTATTTGACGCACAGGTGCTTGAGGGGGTAGGTCACGCCGGAAGCGGCAATGGTGGAGGTGAGTTTGTTGAACTGGGCTGAGTAGGCACTGGTGGACTTGGACTGATACAGATTCTCCATGGCCTCAATGGCCTGGGTGAGCGTGAGCTGGGAGCTGAAGGACTGCTGGATCCATTCAGAGTAGCATTCCCAGGTCATGGTGGCGCGTTCTGACTCTGGTAGACGGTGCCAGGTGATGCGCGCGTGGTTGTTGAGTCCTGAGGCTATGAACTGGACGTAGGTAGGTTGGCCAGTGTGGGTACGGTTGGCGATAGTGGGGGCAAAGCCGTAGAGGTGGCAAATCTCTAGCAAGCGGTCGAGGTAGTCGTCCAGGAAGTTCTGGAGCTCGTGGGCTGGCCTATTCTTGCCAGACCCCGCGAAAGCGATGGGCTTGATGGAGGGCATCCTAAAGTAGGGGAGGGGATGGGCTACCGTAGCGGTACCCTCGGCTTGAAGGGCCTGGGCAGGGACGGCGGAAGCGGAAACGGTGGCTTGAGAGCGACGCATGGCTTCAAGCTCGGTTAGGAGGTACTGGTGGGTCTGGTTGAGGTCGGCGTAGGCTTGGACAAGCTGCTGGAACTGCTGTTCGGCAGTGAGGGGCACGGGCGTGGTGCTGGAGGTCATAAGGATGTCAGAAGAGGAGGACATTCCTCTGATGCTACCAAATGTTAGGGAATCGAAGGGGGAAGATATTTAGAAGTTGATGATTTATTTCAATAAGAACACTGCTTCATTTATAGAGTTTTTGGGCCGGAAAATTAGTTAAGATATATCTGGATGATAGCAACATTCAACCTAAAATTTCAGATAAGTATTGTAAGATCTGTGAATCGTGCGAAACTGCAACTGATTCTTTATCGGGGATTTATCCGGGTGGAAGCGGAAAGCTCATTACATGGAGACATCACGGCCTGATTAGCTCAGTGGTTAGAGCACCCGCCTTTTAAGCGGGTGGTCGCGGGTTCGACCCCCGCATTAGGCTCTTAAGGCCCGCCTTTTTAAGTCCGAACTGTAATCAAGTTTCAGTAATTTTACACACTGCGAACGAAATGACTGCGGTACCTACCAGAGCGCGACGATAAGGAAAATATGAGAATTTCATTTTGTAATCAACGGAATTAAAAAATTTGGGATTTGCTGTCTTGGTGTGGTGAAGGTGTGGTCAAGGTCAGCAGAAAAAGTGGTTACTGGAACGAGGCCCAAACTGTAAGAACTTGGATGACGATCCCGCAGCTAGTTCCGTACATTCCATACGCATCACCTTCTGGTGGTGATGCACGGGGTCCGAGTGGACCCGAGCGACTACAATTGCTACAGCTACAACTTTCTGATGTTGCGCAGCTGTTGCAACTGGACGACGCAACCTTCTCGTCGCTGACACTTGCTGAGATGGACACTGTCTGTGCCTGGCTCAGCGACTATTTTGAACAACAGTCTAAACGCGTTGCGCAGTCGCAGCCGTTGTTTGCCTCGTTCCAAGCGAGTCTGACCACAAGCTCGTCACCAGCGTCCGCTACTTCGGATGCAAATCCTGTCGAGACCAGAATGGAGTCGAAACTTCTGCGAAAGACGCTTCAACTCGCATCGCGCGTCTGGCGTCGTTGTCTCGTCTCAACAAGACCACCAACGCAAACACAACTCTTTCTCTCACTTTCATCCGTCTTTGTCCGCACCTCGCCGCTCTTCGTCGCTTCTCTCTTTCACGAAACCGCGCTGCGCTTTGGTCAAAATTGGTTCGCCGACATCCTTCGAACCGCCACTCATGTCTTTGAAGGCACATTGCGGAATATCCAGAAGAAGATTGAAAAGAAAGCAGCCTCAGATTCAAAGGGGAAGGTGAGGGTTGCCCTGGCGGCATCATCTTCTTCGTCGGGGAGTGTAGCCTCAACCCATGGCGATCCAGCACAAAGGCACCCAGAATTTTCAGAGGGAAAGCAATTGTACGATATCGCGCTTCTTGCAGACGCAGCACTTGTCTTTGAATCTCTCGTGATTGCATCTGCGTCCACTTCCACTTCCCTCGCAGACTCGCTCCTGCTCTCCCCCTCATTTGTTGATGCCCTCCTTGGAGCATACGGCATCGCAAACATTCTATTCGCCACTCTTACAATTTCACCCTCACCCGACGACACCCCCCTTGGTTCCATGGAAACAGTTGGCCTCCTGCCTCCAAACGTCATCACTGACCCTGTCCTTGCCGAACATTTGCGCTTCCTTAAACTGTCCATCCTGACCCTCACAGATACACTCCTCACTGTCTCCTTCTTTCACCCTCTCGGCGTCTCACCCTCCGCAGATATGGGCATCGAGCGTGTCACGCCCATACCTCCCTCCGCTGAGGTCCCCGATCTGGACAACCCGCGCCAGGACAAACTTTGTGATCTTCTGCTCGTGCTCCTGGATGCGTCTCCACTCGACGCACAAGTCCCCTTTTTGACAGGCGCTGCGCCCCTCCTCGTGGACCTGGAGGTCGAGACGGGCCTGGCAGACCAGCTGCGCAGTCTCCAGGCGCACCGGGAAGGGAAGGAAGCAGATCCGAGGATGGAGTATCTGATTGTGAGTTTGGAGCAGATGCTCGCATTCAGCGGAAATGCCGGGGTGAGGATGCAGCGCCGGGAAGAGAGGCGGCAACGTGCTCATGCCTTTGAATCTCGCTTGCAGAGACAGAGGAGGGCAAAAGGGGCGAGTGGACGGAAGAATCGCGTTGGGGGAACATGTGTTGAAGGAACGCCCAATGTGGAAGAATACGTGGCGCGCACCTTGCTGATTTCGCAGGTGCACGATCTGTTCCCGGAGCTTGGGGAAGGTTTTATTGAGGCATGTCTAGTGGCGCTGGGGAATGACGCGGAGCAGGTCATTATGCGTGTGATTGAAGGGAATTTTCCGCCGCAGGTTGCCAAGTTGGATCGCGCTTTGCCACGGCGGTCACCGCCGTCGACTGAGACTATCAAGTACTCAAAGGATGTGTCGTCAAAGGGAAGCGTGAACAAGAAGGCTAAGGCTGTTACGGCTGTGGAAGAATTCCCCACCCTTGGCGGAGCAGGGGTACTTTCCTCGCGCAAAAATGTTTTTGACAATGACGAATTCGATGTCTTCAGCGGCACCAAGCCCGTCGACGCGAGCAAAGTCATTTGGGGCAAGAAAGAGTTGAGTTCTGGTTGCTTCTCCATTTGCTTCCTGAACCGATTCCGTCTTCTTTTTTCGTCCCAGCAAAATGACCGCATCTCTTCTCGACACAAAAGACGCCTCTCAGAAAGACGCTGTCCTCGCGCTGCACGCTACAGCTTTACGCGAGGAGGAAGAGTACGAGCGCTCCCGGCGCGAGGAGATGCAGCAATACGACGACGAGTACGACGACTCGTACGATACCGCAGATATCCGACTCGCGGGTACCGTGGAGCTGCGCTTGGTGGATGAGGACGACGATCGTGGCGGTACACGCGATGCGCTGGTGGCGCGGGCTGCGAATGACAGTGCGACTGGAGCTTGGAACAGTGGAGGGACGCGGGCTATTGAGCAGGAGCTGTTTGCGATTGCAGGTGGGTTTGGGAAGGAGGTTCTGGAAGTAAGCGCGCGGAAAGGGGTTGCTCGACAGCGGCTCAAAGCCAAGTTGGGTTGGAGCGATGAGATGATTGAGGGGTGGTATAAGATGTATCTGCGGGATGTGAGTCTATTTCAAAGTTATTTGCTGTTGGTACTAACGGATGGTTTTCGTCCTTGTGTTATACAGCCGCACAAGCAGCGGCGGATGGCCGAACAGAACGACTTTCGCGGGAACCGGCCTAACGATGCTAGTGAAAGCAGCCCACCTTCTATTACGCCGGCCGCATCTGCGTCACAGCCGTTTGTCAAAAATAGGAATCGCGCAGCGGCAAACCCCAACGGCGACAACAACTCTGGCGATGAATCAGGTAGCGGAGACGTGGACGCGCCCAGTAACGCGAATGATCACGCTGCCTCGCAGGGTGGACGCGGTGGCGGGCGCGGTGGAGGTCGTGGGGCTTCGCGTGGTGGTCGGGCGAATCATTCTCGCAGAAACCAGCATGCGAGAAAGATGGCCAGGGGGATGGCGGGGGGAACAGGGGAGTAGAGGCATTTACTTTTTGGTATACCTAATAGTATTCAGGGAGTAAAACGTGATTGTGCCCAAAGTTTTGAAACAAAAACATCTCAGTTTACATGACATTCATCTTATAACGTAACTCCATCTCTTGCATCTCCGGATCCTCCGTCGCAGTCGATGAAACCTGATGTTTGTACCTCCTCACCACGCGCTCCACCCTTGCATCCAACATCAGAGCAGCATCGTGTTCCCCGATCCAGACATCCACCAAAAAGAGGTTATGCAGCCGCGGCAGTGCATGCACCAAGAACGCTATCCCACCTTCCACTTTCGTTCCGGACAATCCGACATCTCTCAACTGTGTACACAGCGCGAGCGCCACGACGTCCCGCAGAAACAAGCTCCCGCTCAATCCCACCGCCCGCAGACGCGGAAGCCCAGCCAGTGCGTCCAAACTCACCGCGCGCGAGCCATAAAGGTATAGGATCTCGAGATTCGTGAGGTGCGTGAGGCTGCGTAGGTTCCTGACACCCGTGTGTGAGAGATTGAGCTTGCGCAGGACCTGCAAGGGTTTCAAAAATTCGAGGACTGTGGAATGTTCGAAGGAACAACCGCTGAGGTTGAGGGTGTGCAAGTGGGTCAGTTGCGCGAGGATGGGGTTGGCGCGCATGTCGTTGTCGGCCTTGAGGTCGAGCATGGCGAGGGAGAGAGAGCGCAATGTGGGGGCGAGCGATGCAAGCGCGTAGATGCAGTTAACGTGCGTGCTACTGATGTCCAGGGATTCGAGCTGGGTAAGGTTGCCAATGAGGGAAATGTCTTCGATGTTGGAACGGGAGAGTTGCAAGTGCTTTAGCAGGTGCAAGTTGAATACGGGGGACCAATTTCTGAGCTCCATGTTACCGAGATTAAGGCACGTGAGGCGATGCGCGTATTCTGAAACGAAAACAATGTCGTGGATCCCAGAGGATGCAAACAGGCTCAGGTCCGTGAGTGCCTCAAGGCCAGCCAAGGAAACTATCGCATCCAGATCAACAAGATGTCCGTGTGTAATGTGGAGAGTGCTGAGTGCGTGCAGAGACTTGAGCGCGTGGATATGTTGGAGGGACACACGTGACACAGACAGATTTGACAGGTTCGCGAGCGTATCGGCATTTAGCAGAGACAGAACAGAGACGAGATGCAAGTCTTTTGCCTCGCCGTTGAGCGTCAAAGTGCGCAGATTCGGTGCGTTCATGACTATCAAACTGGGCAAGTCTTGATCAGGGACGGGGACGACGAGACTTCCGAGACACGGCCACGCAAGCAACGACAGCGCGCCCATCGCTTCGACTTCTTCAAACGAGACATTGGTTACGTGTGCACAGATGCCACTTAGCACCGTAAATGCCGTGTCGAAGTCGGAATCGGAAGGGACAACCACGTTGACTCGCTGCCTGATCACCGACACACGTGCCTCAGAGAGAGTGGGATGCGTAGAGTAAACTGCAAGTGCGTCCTGAACACTCAGCCAGGGAACCAAGTGAGGTTGGAGCGCAAAGAGGGCCGACACAAGATTTCGCGACATCCAAAAAAAAATTGTCTCGGAGGACACTAAAGACTCTATTGTATTCACAGTTTTTATGTTGAGGTATTCAGCACCGCTTTTTGATGCCCCTACCTCACTAATTTTGAGGAAACAAGAGGACTAAAATCCTTAGGTTAGCCATCCTCTGTTATTGCCACCCCTTCAACTCCATGTTTCGCGTGCATTCAGCATGTGGCCTTCAGCAGCTGCTTTGCTTTTATGAGCAGCCTGCGCGCATCCTTCAGCCTGATCCCCTGCAGCCACGCGTGTGCAGGCTCCCTACCTTTCAATTTGGCGCATTTTTGCGCTGCCCTGGCTATTGCAGCTGTTGCCGCAGCCTCGCTGCTGCGCAGCA